GCCCGCGCCAGTTCAGCACGCGGTCTGAACTCGCACGGGTCTTAAACGCGTCCTCGTTCCCTCAGTGTTGTGGCCGTCTTGAGGTGTTCTGCGGCAGCGATGGGGCCATCAGGTTTTGGGGCCCGTCGGGCCGTCTTCGGGCGGTGTTAGGGTGAGTTTGCGACCCGCGCCAGTGCAGCGCGCGGCCTCAATTCCTGTGGATCTTAAACTCGACTTTGTCCCCTCGGTCTTGGGGCCGTCTTGGGCCGCTTTGGAGGGTTCTCAGGCAGTCTTGGGGCCATCTGGGGGCCCTCTTGGGTTCAAGTAGTTTAGGGCCGTCATGGGGGCATCCCGGGGCTCTCTGAAGCTTTCCCGAGGCGATCTTAAGCCGAACGGCCTCGGGGATCCCAACACATTGTTTTCGTGACTGTTTTTCAATATGTTTCTGTTGTGAAAGCCTCGCCGGATGACTCTTTGGGCGTCTCTTGGAGCTTTCTTGGAGCCTCTGGGGGAGATTTTGTAGTCTTCGAGGGCTCGTTGGGCCGTCTTCTGAGAGTCTCAGGGTGAGTTTCCGACCTGCGCCAATGCAGCGCGCGGTCTGACCCGTGAGTCTTAAACTCGACCTCGTTCCCTCGGTTTTGGGGTCGCCTTGGAGGGTTCTTGGGTGGGGCGTTCTGGGGGCTCTTATTGGACAGTTTTGGGCCGTTCTAGCGGCTTCTTGGAGCAATCTGAAGCCAAACGATTCGGGATCAAAAACATCAATTGCCGTTCAAGGTTTTTAGTGCCTTTCGCTTTCTAGGGCCTCGCTGGAGGCCTCTTTGAAAGTCAATTGGAGGCTTCTTGGGGCCTGTCGGGGCATCTTGGGGACTTCCTGGATCCTGGGGAGTCTTCGGGTGGTCTTGGGTCTTTTTGCAACCGTTTTGGACGATTTTTCAAATGTCTTGGAGCCGCCTGGAGGCAGAAAGTGGCGCCCCAAAGCAGATTCAGAGGGGGCGATTTTCGAAGGACGCGCGCCAGTAGGAGGTGGGGCGGATCGTCCATAGAAGCACTGAAGAACCCTCACCAGATAAACGAGGAGCATTCTAGCACGCCCCAACGTGCCTACGGCACGGTGGCGGATGGGTGGTTCGGCAGCTTGGAGATTTTCTCGGCGGTGGCCTTCGAGACGCTCCTGGGGTCGATGGCCTCGTGCAAGGACACCGTCGATTGGAAAACGGGCATTGACGGAGGCAAGTACGGCCCCATGGGCGAGGATCTGTTTGCGCAGGTTTGCTTGGATGCGAACGGTGTCTCTCGTGGAGAGGCATTCGGCACCAAGTTGGACGGAACCTGCGAGGCCGACCGGCCAACCGCGGAGAAAAAGAACAAGAAGTGGAAGCCCACGTGCGACGGCGAGAACTTCCCGGCGTACCACCCGCTGATGAAGCCCGAGGACTATATGGCTTGCTTGGATGCCACCACCAAGGCATTTGGTTACTGAGCGCCCCAGAGGAGACTGAAGTTGCGCTGCGCCAGGCAGAACGCCCCGCCCGTTGGGCCTGCTTCTTGCGCCCCACGTGTGCTGTTTTCGTCGTGCAAGCATTTTCCGCGCTGCCCTGACCTCGCCTCCCCACACAAAGGTGGTGATGAGGCGCGTCTGAGGCGGCAGTCAGCCTGGCGCTGCTTAATTACGGGAGACCCCCTTCTTCTGCCGCGGTCGACTGCACGCCCATGGCTGTAGTCGGCCCCGAGCCGCATTCGTTCTCCCATGCTCACATCTGGGCGTTCACACGTTTGTCCTCTGACTTTGGCAAGCGGGCCAGCGAGAGTGTCATCACCGTAATTATACATTCCCCTGCCGTGGATCAGCACCTGCCTTTCCACGGAGGCCTCTGCGGTGCTCTGAGCTCCCTGGATTTTTTCCCGATTTGCCTCGCTGCGGCGAGGACAACAAAGAGGACCATGCGCCCAGGGGGCTTCCATGGGGGGGCGCAGTGACGGAGCAGTCGCAGCCAGCCTCCCACGCTCGTTGAGGCTCCCCGCCTCTTCCTGCCCTTCCTGCTTGCTGCCTGCCGTCTCTGCCCCCGGTCCCGCCCCTGGTCCCGCTCCTGCCCGCTCTGATCCTGTGCCCGCTCCCGCTCCCGCTCCTTCCCCTTCTCCCGCTCCTGCCCCTCGTGCGCGCCCTCCTGCCACGAACGGTGGAGAGGCCTGGCCGTAGCCGTTTTTGGCTCGAGGCTCTGCGGCAGCCAGCCTGCCCTGCGAGCGCTCCCAGCCATAGTGACCTGCCGTCAATGACCTCGGCCACGGACCGCATGGAGCTCGCGGAGGTCGGCGGCGAGGCGAGCGGGTCGGAGCAGTTCCTGGTCCAGGACGCTCGCGCCAGGCGCTCGCCCTGGCGCGCGGCGGGCGGCGCGGGCGTGGCCGCCCTGCTCCTGGCCGGCGCAGGCGCGGGGGCAGCGCGCTTTGCGCTGCGCGGGGCGGCCTCGGACACGGACCGCCTCCAGAGCAAGGCGCAGACGGTGGCCATGCCCCCGCGCGACCAGTGCGCCAGCACGGACGACGACTGCTACAGCCTGGGGTGTTGCAACGTTGCGGGCCTGAACTGCTTCGAGACCAAGCCGGGGAAGGGCAAGTGCCTGAAGAATTGCACCCCCAGCGCCTCCCAGCTGTGCGTTCAGACGCAGCCCATCATGGACCCGATCCTCAAGGATGCCGACTGGTACGGCCCGTCATTGTACTGCTTCGCAGTGGTCATGCAGGACATCGGCAGCACAAAGAAGATGTACGACTTGGAGCTACTCCAGGGGGCATACGAGAGGAGGACGAGCATCTTCGCGTGCGAGAACTGGGGGGTATTCAGCGACAAGGAGGGCGAGGTCGGGCCCGGCGCTCCGCTCGTGAAGCTGGAGGATGCCGACGGGGACTTCCATTTCGCGAAGAGAGAGGAGACCGGCACCTGGCTGAATACGGGCTTGCACTACCAGGCCTGGAAGGCAATCGGGGAGGCGGGCGTGTACAAGAGCGCCAGCTGGGTCGTGAAGCTCGATCCAGACGCGGTGTTCGTGGCGAGCCGCTTGGTGTCTTACCTCTCTAGCAAGTTGGTCCCAGCCACTGGCCTTTACCTTGAGAACTGCAAGGGCGTGAAGTATCCAGTTGCCTGCGGCGAACCCCGCCACCGTGCCAGCGCAGCAGCGCAGTGTGAAGGGGGTTGAGTTGAATGCCCGCGCCAGTTCAGCACGCGGTCTGAACTCGCACGGGTCTTAAACGCGTCCTCGTTCCCTCAGTGTTGTGGCCGTCTTGAGGTGTTCTGGGGCAGCGATGGGGCCACCTGGTTTTGGGGCCCGTCGGGCCGTCTTCGGGCGGTGTTAGGGTGAGTTTGCGACCCGCGCCAGTGCAGCGCGCGGCCTCAATTCCTGTGGATCTTAAACTCGACTTTGTCCCCTCGGTCTTGGGGCCGTCTTGGGCCGCTTTGGAGGGTTCTCAGGCAGTCTTGGGGCCATCTGGGGGCCCTCTTGGGTTCAAATAGTTTAGGGCCGTCATGGGGGCATCCCGGGGCTCTCTGAAGCTTTCCCGAGGCGATCTTAAGCCGAACGGCCTCGGGGATCCCAACACATTGTTTTCGTGACTGTTTTTCAATCTGTTTCTGTTGTGAACGCCTCGCCGGATGACTCTTTGGGCGTCTCTTGGAGCTTTCTTGGAGCCTCTGGGGGAGATTTTGTCGTCTTCGAGGGCTCGTTGGGCCGTCTTCGGAGAGTCTCAGGGTGAGTTTCCGACCTGCGCCAATGCAGCGCGCGGTCTGACCCGTGGGTCTTAAACTCGACCTCGTTCCCTCGGTTTTGGGGTCGCCTTGGAGGGTTCTTGGGTGGGGCGTTCTGGGGGCTCTTATTGGACAGTTTTGGGCCGTTCTAGCGGCTTCTTGGAGCAATCTGAAGCCAAACGATTCGGGATCAAAAACATCAATTGCCGTTCAAGGTTTTTAGTGCCTTTCGCTTTCTAGGGCCTCGCTGGAGGCCTCTTTGAAAGTCAATTGGAGGCTTCTTGGGGCCTGTCGGGGCATCTTGGGGACTTCCTGGATCCTGGGGAGTCTTCGGGTGGTCTTGGGTCTTTTTGCAACCGTTTTGGACGATTTTTCAAATGTCTTGGAGCCGCCTGGAGGCAGAAAGTGGCGCCCCAAAGCAGATTCAGAGGGGGCGATTTTCGAAGGACGCGCGCCAGTAGGAGGTGGGGCGGATCGTCCATAGAAGCACTGAAGAACCCTCACCAGATAAACGAGGAGCATTCTAGCACGCCCCAACGTGCCTACGGCACGGTGGCGGATGGGTGGTTCGGCAGCTTGGAGATTTTCTCGGCGGTGGCCTTCGAGACGCTCCTGGGGTCGATGGCCTCGTGCAAGGACACCGTCGATTGGAAAACGGGCATTGACGGAGGCAAGTACGGCCCCATGGGCGAGGATCTGTTTGCGCAGGTTTGCTTGGATGCGAACGGTGTCTCTCGTGGAGAGGCATTCGGCACCAAGTTGGACGGAACCTGCGAGGCCGACCGGCCAACCGCGGAGAAAAAGAACAAGAAGTGGAAGCCCACGTGCGACGGCGAGAACTTCCCGGCGTACCACCCGCTGATGAAGCCCGAGGACTATATGGCTTGCTTGGATGCCACCACCAAGGCATTTGGTTACTGAGCGCCCCAGAGGAGACTGAAGTTGCGCTGCGCCAGGCAGAACGCCCCGCCCGTTGGGCCTGCTTCTTGCGCACCACGTGTGCTGTTTTCGTCGTGCAAGCATTTTCCGCGCTGCCCTGACCTCGCCTCCCCACACAAAGGTGGTGATGAGGCGCGTCTGAGGCGGCAGTCAGCCTGGCGCTGCTTAATTACGGGAGACCCCCTTCTTCTGCCGCGGTCGACTGCACGCCCATGGCTGCAGTCGGCCCCGAGCCGCATTCGTTCTCCCATGCTCACATCTGGGCGTTCACACGTTTGTCCTCTGACTTTGGCAAGCGGGCCAGCGAGAGTGTCATCACCGTAATTATACATTCCCCTGCCGTGGATCAGCACCTGCCTTTCCACGGAGGCCTCTGCGGTGCTCTGAGCTCCCTGGATTTTTTCCCGATTTGCCTCGCTGCGGCGAGGACAACAAAGAGGACCATGCGCCCAGGGGGCTCCCATGGGGGGGCGCAGTGACGGAGCAGTCGCAGCCAGCCTCCCACGCTCGTTGAGGCTCCCCGCCTCTTCCTGCCCTTCCTGCTTGCTGCCTGCCGTCTCTGCCCCCGGTCCCGCCCCTGGTCCCGCTCCTGCCCGCTCTGATCCTGTGCCCGCTCCCGCTCCCGCTCCCGCTCCTTCCCCTTCTCCCGCTCCTGCCCCTCGTGCGCGCCCTCCTGCCACGAACGGTGGAGAGGCCTGGCCGTAGCCGTTTTTGGCTCGAGGCTCTGCGGCAGCCAGCCTGCCCTGCGAGCGCTCCCAGCCATAGTGACCTGCCGTCAATGACCTCGGCCACGGACCGCATGGAGCTCGCGGAGGTCGGCGGCGAGGCGAGCGGGTCGGAGCAGTTCCTGGTCCAGGACGCTCGCGCCAGGCGCTCGCCCTGGCGTGCGGCGGGCGGCGCGGGCGTGGCCGCCCTGCTCCTGGCCGGCGCAGGCGCGGGGGCAGCGCGCTTTGCGCTGCGCGGGGCGGCCTCGGACACGGACCGCCTCCAGAGCAAGGCGCAGACGGTGGCCATGCCCCCGCGCGACCAGTGCGCCAGCACGGACGACGACTGCTACAGCCTGGGGTGTTGCAACGTTGCGGGCCTGAACTGCTTCGAGACCAAGCCGGGGAAGGGCAAGTGCCTGAAGAATTGCACCCCCAGCGCCTCCCAGCTGTGCGTTCAGACGCAGCCCATCATGGACCCGATCCTCAAGGATGCCGACTGGTACGGCCCGTCATTGTACTGCTTCGCAGTGGTCATGCAGGACATCGGCAGCACAAAGAAGATGTACGACTTGGAGCTACTCCAGGGAGCATACGGAGGAGGACCAGCATCTTCGGGTGCGAGAACTGGGGAGTATTCAGCGACAAGGAGGGGGAGGTCGGGCCCGGCGCTCCGCTCGTGAAGCTGGAGGATGCCGACGGGGACTTCCATTTCGCGAAGAGAGAGGAGACCGGCACCTGGCTGAATACGGGCTTGCACTACCAGGCCTGGAAGGCAATCGGGGAGGCGGGCGTGTACAAGAGCGCCAGCTGGGTCGTGAAGCTCGATCCAGACGCGGTGTTCGTGGCGAGCCGCTTGGTGTCGTACCTCTCTAGCAAGTTGGTCCCAGCCACTGGCCTTTACCTTGAGAACTGCAAGGGCGTGAAGTATCCAGTTGCCTGCGGCGAACCCCGCCACCGTGCCAGCGCAGCAGCGCAGTGTGAAGGGGGTTGAGTTGAGTGCCCGCGCCAGTTCAGCACGCGGTCTGAACTCGCACGGGTCTTAAACGCGTCCTCGTTCCCTCAGTGTTGGGGCCGTCTTGTGGTGTTCTGGGGCAGCCATGGGGCCATCAGGTTTTGGGGCCCGTCGGGCCGTCTTCGGGCGGTGTTAGGGTGAGTTTGCGACCCGCGCCAGTGCAGCGCGCGGCCTGAATTCCCGTGGATCTCAAACTCGACCTTGTCCCCTGGGTCTTGGGGCCGTCTTGGGCCGCTTTGGAGGGTTCTCAGGCAGTCTTGGGGCCATCTGGGGGCCCTCTTGGGTGAAATAGTTTGGGGCCGTCATGGGGGCATCGCGGGGCCCTCTGAAGCTTTCCCGAGGCGATCTTAAGCCAAAAGGCCTTGGGGATCCCCAAACATTGTTTTCTGATGTGTTTTTTTCAACATGTTTCTGTTGTGAATGCCTCGCCAGATGACTCTTCGGGCGTCTCTTGGAGGCCTCTTGGAGCCTCTGGGAGAGGTTTTGTAGTGCTCGGGGACTCGTTGGGCCGTCTTCGGAGAGTCAGGGTGAATTTCCGACCGACGCCAATGCAGCGCGCGGTCTGACCCGTGGGTCTTAAATTCGACCTCGTTCCCTCGGTCTTGGGGTCGCCTTGGAGGGTTCTCGGGCAGTGTTTGGGCCATCTGGGGGCTCGTATTGGACAGTTTTGGGCCGTCGTAGCGGCTTCTTGGAGCAATCTGAAGCCGAACGACTCGGGATCAAAGCATTAATTGTTGTTCAAGGTTTTTAGTGCCTTTCGCTTTCTAGGGCCTCGCAGGAGGCCTCTTTGAAAGTCAATTGGAGGCTTCTTGGGGCCTGTCGGGGCATCTTGGGGACTTCTTGGGTCCTGGGGAGTCTTCGGGCGGTCCTGGATCTTTTTGCAACCGTTTTGGACGATTTTTCAAATGTCTTGGAGCCGCCTGGAGGCAGAAAGTGGCGCCCCAGAGCAGATTTAGAGGGGGCGGTTGAGGTGGGGGGGATCCTCCGTAGAAGCACTAAAAACCCTTACCAGATAAACGAGGAGCATTCTAGCACGCCCCGACGTGCCCACGGCATCGTGGCGGATGGGTGGTTCGGCAGCTTGGAGATTTTCTCGGCGGTGGCCTTCGAGACGCTCCTGGGGTCGATGGCCTCGTGCAAGGACACCGTCGACTGGAAAACGGGCATTGACGGAGGCAAGTACGGCCCCATGGGCGAGGATCTGTTTGCGCAGGTTTGCTTGGATGCGAACGGTGTCTCCCGTGGAGAGGCATTCGGCACCAAGCTGGACGGAACTTGCGAGGCCGACCGGCCAACCGCCGAGAAAAAGAATAAGAAGTGGAAGCCCACGTGCGACGGCGAGAACTTTCCGGCGTACCACCCGCTGATGAAGCCCGAGGACTATATGGCGTGCTTGGATGCCACCACCAAGGCATTTGGCTACTGAGCGCCCCAGAGGAGACTGAAGTTGCGCTGCGCCAGGCAGAACGCCCCGCCCGTTGGGCCTGCTTCGTGCGCACCACGTGTGCTGTTTTGGTCGTGCAAGCATTTTCCGCGCTGCCCCGACCTCGCCTCCCCACACAAAGGTGGTGATGAGGCGCGTCTGAGACGGCAGACAGCCTGGCGCTGCTTAATTACGGGAGACCCCCTTCTTCTGCCTCGGTCGACTGCACGCCCATGGCTGCAGTCGGCCCCGAACCGCATTCGTTCTCCCATGTTCAGCTTGGGCGTTCTTGCGCCGGTCCTCTGACTTCGGCAACCTGGTCAGCGACAGTGTCATCACCGTAGTTATGCATTCCCCTGCCGTGGATCAGCACCTGCCTTTCCACGGAGGCCTCTGCGGCGCTCTGAGCTTCAGCGATTTCTCCCTCCTGCATGGCTGCGGCGAGGACCACAAAAAGGCAAACATAGACGCACGCACACACTCAGTGGGTGATCGTTTGCTATCCATTCCCAGCAAACCTGTTGTTGGGTCCTCGTTTCGAAAGACGGTGCCCCGCGTTCCTCTCCTGTCCTCATCCTCCCCTCCTCCCTCCCCTTCCTCCCCCTCCTCCCTCCCCCCTTCGTTTCACCCATCCAGTACAGCGTTTCTGTCCCCATAGGGAGCCCCACCGAAGGTTCCAGTGCTACCGTCCGCATGCGTCCCGCACACCCAGTACACCGTTTCGTGGCCTCTTCCTCCTTCCTCCCTGCGTTTCACCCACACAGTACAGCGTTTCGTGGCCCCACAGGAAGCCCCACCGAAGGTTCCAGTGCTACCGTCCACATGCGTCCCGCACACCCAGTGCAGCGTTTCGTGGCCCCAGAGGGAACTCCACCAAAGGTCCCAGTGCTACCGTCCGCATGCGTCCCGCAGACCCAGTACAGCGTTTCGTGGCCATACAGGGAGCTAACGAAGCTCCCAGTGGGACCGCCCGCATGCGTCCCGAAAACTTAATTTGGCATTTTCATCGACACAGTACAGCGTCTCGTGGCCCCAGGGGGAGCTCCACCGAAGCCCCCAGTGGGACCGTCTGCATGCGTCCCGAAAGCCTAATTTGGCATTTGCACCCACCCAGTACAACAGCGCTTCGTGGCCCCATAGGGAACTCAGCCGAAGGCCCCAGTGCCACCGTCCGCATGCGTCCCGAAACCGAATTTGGCATTTTCACGTACCCAGTACAGCGCTTCGTGGCCCCATTGGGAGCTCCACCGATGCACCGAGTGGGACCGTCCGCGTGCGTCCCGCACACTCAATTTGGCATTTTTTCACCCACCCGCTACAGCGTTTCGTGGCCCCATAGGGAGCTTCACCGAAGCCCCCAGTGGGACCGTCCTCTTGCGTTGCGAAAGCCTGATTTGGCATTTTCATCCACCCAGTACAGCGTTTCGTGGCCCCATAGGGAGCTCCACCGAACCCCCCAGTGGGACCGCCCGCACCCAAGTTGGGTTTTTTCCACCCACCCAGTACAACGTTTCGTGGCCCCAGAAGGAGCTCCACCGAAGCCCCCAGTGGGACCGCCCGCATGCGTCCCGCACACCCAATGTGGTATTTTCCCCCACCCAGTACAGCGCTTCGTGGCCCCATAGGGAGCCCCACCGACGCCCCGAGTGGGACTGTCCGCGTGCGTTCCGAAAACCAAATTTGGCATTTTTTCGTGGCCCCATAGGGAGCTCCACCGAAGGCCCCAGTGGGACCGCCCGCATGCGTCCCATACATTCAATTTTGATTTTTCACCCACCCAAGCAATGTTTCGTGGCCCCATGGGGAGCTCCACGGAAGCCTCCAGGGTGACCGCCCGCATGCGTGCCACACACACACACACACACACGCACACGCGCGCGCGCGCGCGCGCACGCGCACGCGCACGCGCACGCGCACGCGCACGCGCACGCGCACGCGCACGCGCACGCGCACGCGCACGCGCACGCGCACGCGCACGCGCACGCGCACGCGCACGCGCACGCGCACGCGCACGCGCACGCGCACGCGCACGCGCACACGCACACGCACACGCACACGCACACGCACACGCACACGCACACGCACACGCACACGCACACGCACACGCACACGCACACGCACACGCACACGCACACGCACACGCACACGCACACGCCCACGCACACGCACACGCACACGCACACGCACACGCACACGCACACGCACACGCACACGCACACGCACACGCACACGCACACGCACACGCACACGCACACGCACACGCACACGCACACGCACACGCACGCGCACACGCACCACGCACCACGCACACGCACACGCATACGCAGACGCACACGCACCACGCACACGCACACGCACCACGCACCACGCACCACGCACACGCACCACGCACCACGCACACGCACACGCACACGCACATGCACACGCACACGCACACGCACACGCACACGCACACGCACACGCACACGCACACGCACCCGCACACGCACACGCACACGCACACGCACACGCACACGCACACGCACACGCGCACGCACACGCACACGCACACGCACACGCACACGCACACGCACACGCACACGCACACGCACACGCACACGCACACGCACACGCACACGCAC